CACTGCTGAATGTCTGTTCATTTGGCTCCATTATAATTTTAATGTCGAATCGTTTCACAAACGAAATCTCAAAAATTAAATCTAAAATCCATTACTTGTGATATGATTTGCTTTTTACAATCATTTATTTGTTGCAATTAGCACCCAACATGGTTAACATTTTATAGCAGTTAGATTAAAGGGCCCATATTACACCACTTTCTGATCTAAGTTATAATGTTGTTTCTTCATCAAAAACATACCTGGCATTGTGTTTTGTTTCATTCACACATTTATCACACACAAATCCTGCATGTTTAGGTTTTATGTCTTCTCTCAAAATGAAAACCGTCTGTTCCACCTTGTGATGTGGTAATACAGAAAGTGCTCCACTGTGTTTTCAATCTCCGTATACCTTCACTTGATAATTTAAAACCTGGAATTGCCAGTCTCCACTGAGCAGGGGTGTAGTGGGCGTGGTATGCGGGGGTACGCTGGCCACCCACTTCTCCCAATGTGAAATGTAAAAAATAACAAATATAAAATAGCCTACAACTTAGATGTCAAACCGTAGCTATTGGCAACAGTGAAAACAACCTGCATAGGCTCATGGTATCTGCAGTACTGTCCTATAGTGACCCATGACATGAGGGGACCAGGACTGAACCAGGACTAAACCAGGGAATAGTGTCAGGACGGGCCCAAAGGTGCGCCTGTGTAGGCCATAAGGTGACTGCAGGAGAAAGGACCGGCACAGCGCTCCACGCCTCACGGCTTCTGTAAACTACCACTTGATGATATAACAAGGTGTAACAAAGCATTTTGAGCTCTGGAGATGTAGACAAGACTAATAATAAAAGATTACTCAAAAATGTATGAACCAAAACACAACTCCAGGTATGTTTTTGATGAGGTAACAACAATATAACATGACAAAATTTGAGCTCCATTGTGTGTTGTCTGCATCTAAATGGCACGCATTTTATTTTCTACCATAATCAGGAAATGCACATTAGCATGCTGGCTGTTTTGTAGCTTTATTGTCACAGCAAAACTTTGAACCACTGCATTTTTAGGACATTAGAAGTCAGGTACAGCGCCTTAAACCAACACTTGAGAACTTGTATGGGAAAAGTACACATCAGCCTACCACTTAACTATTATCATTATGATCGCATTATCAAAAGAACACTGGGCTTAGCTGTTAATGTATGTGGCAATTTTTCTAAGCATCTGACATTTTAAATCACAGCTCGTGGGTGTGTTCTTATAGGCCTTTATAATCCTCTTAAAAGTATCATAACTTCAAACTTTAAGAGTGGTATTATGTGAAATAGATTTTTGGGAGCTTTCTGCCATGTTTTAACATTGTTCTCTCGTCAAAAACAAGGCTGAAGAGGTTTTAAATGTCATCAATGCATGTTTCAGTAATTTAGCAATCTCTCCCGGGCCCTATTCAAACCCTCCTCATGATTAGCTGTAAGATTCTGTCCAGTGCTCCGCCTACAAGCTTACGCCATCTACCGTTTTGTTCCTTGTTTGGAGGAAGGAAACTCTTTCAGGCAACACATTTGAAATAGTCACTGTTTCGACGATTAAAATGGACGGTTTCATATTCACTTCGCACAAGTGGTTTAACAAAGACTTTTAGTTCACAAAAATGGAATGGCGCGACGTGACTCGCCCGTAGTGACCAGGGACCCTCGCCATCACGTAGCAATGAGGTTTCCGAAAATGTATAGTTTGTCAGCCAAAAAAAAGCGGAACATTGTTCTCGTATCGGTTGGTTATTCTCCTAACCAACTCACCCATTTTTCACCCACTGAACAATGACGAAAAGTCCTGAAATTTTGCCATCTGGTAAAACTCGCGCTTCTCTAACTTTTGGCTATTTTCATTTACCAAAAATAAATAAAATGGCTCGTCAGCACCCCCAAACGACTCAAAAATGCATTAGGGAATACGAATGACACCAAAAAAAATTTGCAGGTACAATCATAAAATTTGACACAGAAGTCGATCATGTCAAGACAAGGAAATATAAAAAAATATTATTACACATATTATTACACCAACACCGTGTGCTCCACTAGGGGGCAGTAATATTAGCTTAAAGTTGGCTAAGCTTTTACGAACTCCTCCGAGGGCGTTCACCCGAACGAGCTCAAATTTGGTCCACATTATCTCAAGACGTGGAACATCGAAAGTTATCCAAATTTTTCACACACGTCTTACGGTCTCTGAACAGTGAAGCAACAAAAAATGCACACAATTTTGGAGATTTACAAATTGCTCCCATTTGCTCAAACGAACTCCGATTTCAATGAAAATTTAAACAGTTGTTAAACTCTCTGCCCTGAAGCTACTTCATGTGAAAATTATTAATTTGGCACATTAGCGCCCCCTATAGATTGAAACAAAATTTAATATGTGAGAAAATCATTTGTTCCCAAATAGTTGTTCAAAAATTTCTGAAATTTTGCACAAAATTCCATTTTGACATCCTGATAACTCAATGACACCCATGTCATATTTTTTATGCCGTTGCCATAGCGATGACATAAACTCTCCATTGGTAAAATCTACAAATTCTGGCACAAACTTTGGCCGTTTTCATTCAAATTTTAATCGTGGGTTCACACCCCGACCCTGAACAGATTTATATAAGAAACTCTCAGGTGGGCACAATAGCGCCCCCTAGGGAAATTGCACGGTAGTGCCAAAATTTACTTTGTCGTAGACATATAAAATTTGGTACACAGATTCATGACATGGTCTCGATCAAAAAAGTGTAGGACGACCCCATGCCATTTCCCCATCATGTTGCCACGGTGACAGGCTAAATCTGACCTCGCCAATAGGACGCCCAACAAAAACTTTGGTGTAGCTAAACCAAATTTGGTACACAGATGCATCATGGGAATAGGAACAAAAAAGTATATTACAGCAGGAAGTCGGCCATATTGGATTGATCGTGCGACCTGGCGATGAAGGCACAAATTCCTGTCCTCATATTTGAACGAACACGTCCTAGGGCGTTTGACCCAGACTCACCAGAATCATTCTGTATCATCTAGACAAGTGGGACATTAAAATTTGTTAAAAGCTTTTTAAAAGATCAAACGGTGTGACCATCAAACTTCGACGCCTGATAATTTGCACACATTTTGGCCAATTTCACTCATATTTTAACCGTGGGTTCACACCCCGACCCTGAACAGATTGATGTAAGAAAATACAAAAATGGGTGCAATTGCGCCCCCTAGAAAATTTGTATGTAAAAATAAGGTTTTATTTGTCACAGATATACAACATTTGGCACCCACATTTGTGACATGGTCTCGATTAAAAAACTCAATAATGCTCACACCCCATTTACATTGTGTTGCCATGGCAACAAGCCAAAATTGTATCCTTGCCAATGGGACGTCCTGACACAAACGTTGGCGTAGCCAAACCAAATTTGGTATCCAGATGCATCATGGCAATAAGAACAAAAATGTATATTGTGACCACGCCCCTTTACAAACCGGAAGTCCGCTATCTTGGATATTTTCTTTTGCCAAATTTTGAAAATTGCAGAGTTACATTAAGATTTTTAGGGCTAGGGTTGGGGCTATGGTTAGGATTACGATTAGGGTAAGGTTTAAGCTTAGGCTTATTGGGGTCAGTGTGAGGTGCGGCGTTTGCGGGCTGCGCCGTTTGCGGGGCGTGGCGCAAGCACGAGCGAGGGCCGATCATTGCCGCTTGCGGCTATATTTTTCAATTAGAATTTTGCTCCGTTGCCAGTCACAAGATGGCAGTGCACATGCTTCCTCTAGCTTTATTTATAACTAACTATCCTAATTGATTCAGTGAACTAAGTTTTGTTGCTGTACTTTTTATTTAGCATGTGCTTCTTCTGCCTAATTTATTTTTAATATGTATGTGATTTATATGTTCTGAGTTTTATTCATAACTCAGTCCTCTCTTCCCCCCACAGCCCGGGCCACTAAATGCACCCAGTTGCTGCTGTTCTGCTGTTTGACTGACTTTGACCATGAAACAGAAGCTAAAACAAATTAAGAAGTGACGATTTCAGTTTAAAAGGAACAGAGTGTATGATGTTGTTCACCAGAGACCAAGGTCACCGTGACACTCTTAACACCGCCTCTATGGGAACTGCCAGGTTTAAAAAAGGACCTGTCGTCTCAAGTAACTCTTCAGGAAATTACTTGCACTTTTCTTAGAATATTTTTTAAACAGACTGAACTGAGTGATTGTTTTTTACCACCTAACGTATGTCAAAGGTATTTTTTCAGATTACAAAGAATGTGAATGATACGCAGTTAATGCACTGTTTGACGCAATACTGTAGTTTTGTTACTTTTCAGAGTACTAGCGGTGGGAAATAACTTTTACTTGAGGAATTTTCTTCAAAGACTTTTGTACTTTGTATGAACCAAAACTTTTAAGTAGTTTTTGAGGTAAACATTGTAACTGTAAACATGCTGAAAATAGTAGCAGTAGCAGCAGTAGTAGTAGCATGGTAGTACCATTAACTGCTTATTTATAGAGGCAAACTTCCATCACTACTTTATTCAGATGACATTTTGCTATATTGGGCTTATTTGAGTAAAATTTATTTGAAGTGCTTCAACAAATTATTTTTTTCCTTTGAGTAAGTAGGATTTGATTTGGGATTATTTTATTTAACATTGCATAAAATATGTCCATGCATCAAACAGACAGTTTTATATTTGAAAAAGTAAAAAATAAGGATGAGGTTGCAAGTTCATGTTATAATGTCTCAGTTAGGTTTTGGTTTTATCTTTTGCACAATGCCATAAATACTCAAAGTTAAATGGAAATTTGCACATGTGTTGTAATTATTTCTTTACCCAATTTGAATGTCCAGCAGAAATGTTTTTCCTTTATTCAATTAAACACAATTAACACAGTTTAACTATTAAACATGTTAAACACAGTCTGGAGTACAATGTTTTGTCTGTCATTTAAAACGAAAAAAATACACTTTTGATTCAAACTATCCTTATAGATACACTGCAGTTGGTTATATCGAAGCCAGGACAGATCCACTTGTTGCTGAACTGTGTGTATCCTTCTGCATTGACCAGGCCACTGCCTAAAGACACCAGGTTAGAATCACACTGTATTAAACACAATTTCCATATCATATAAAGTGTTCATTTAAAGTAGATTATACCATCCATGAGATTTTGCAGGCTGCAGAAGTTTGTTCGGTTGGCTTCTGGGTCCTTCGGGGTGTCCATGATTGAATCACCCTACAGACACAAGGATGTAGAATCAGTTGCATTATCAGAAAATTAAAATAACACAGACAATAGTTTTAAATGTAGAAAATGGTGCATATCCCAGAAGACCTTTGTGAGTTATGTAGTATGCATGTTTTTGCTCTTTGCTTCATTCAGTGTTACCAGTTTGCTTCTAACATGATTTACAGTACTCTAAAGTTTAGTCTAAGGCCTAACTTAGACTATGTTTTGAAAACGTAATTATACTCCATCAATAGCTGTTTTAAATGTTCAACTTTGCCACTTACAGTCACTTTGCAGAGCGTAGACTGTTCAAACAGAAACTGCATTTCGTTGACTTTTCTTGTCTTAGGAGAAGTGTGTGCGGCTTTGATGAGATATGGTGAAGTAGACACGAGCTGACACGTGCAAAAACACAAACGCAAGTTACTATAAATAACTTGTACAGTTTCAATTAAAGAAGAACAGCTGACCTCATAGGAGCACTTCTCTCCACTGTACAGGCAGCTCGTACTGATCTGCCACAGTTTGATCTGCCTCACCAGTCTGTTGTACACCTCCTCACACAAAATACCAAAAGTCCTGCAGAAAAAAGAAAATGTATACAATAACTTAATATTCAGGATCAAATTAGCCAAAAAGCTATCACAAAAGCTGTCTCTTAAACAAGTTAAAATGGGAAAATACAAATACATTCCTATAATATAACCAATAAATACTACTACTACTACTACTACTACTACTACTACTACTACTAATAATAATAATAATAATAATATAATATTAATCTCAATTACTGTTTTATTAATTACAAAGACAGTAATTAATTAGATTGATTGAGTCCTGAATTAATTAGGGGAATGAATTCAGTAGTCTATGTTTGGTAATTACAAAATCTTTATACTATTATAGATGATACTAGTACTCAGTTCTCATGTAACTGTCAGATTTGTATCAGACTTTTTTGTTTTTATTACAACAATGACTTGAGTAGTGGATCATTTCATGGTCGTGGACTCGGGCCCAGGATTAATAATTATTAGTAATTTATTAGTTTGGTTTTTTTTGCTATATTGGATAAATAATAGGGAAAATGAGGTGTACCTTACCTTCTAACACTCTGTATTGAGGATAGATTTTAATCCATAAAAATGTCTATGACTGTACTATACTAAATATGACTAATGTGAGACTTGTGATTATTGTGGTTCTTCTATAATCGACACAGGAGCGTGGCCAAAACCTTGTCTAATACAGCTCTGACCATTAACACTGTGACAACTGCAAGATTTCAAGTCAGACAGGAGGATATAACATTATAAGTCCACTTACATTATAATAACAGGTACTTCAAACAACTCCAATATATGCCACCTTGGCATACTTTGACACGTTCAGTAAAAATATTAAATAACAATCTTACCATTTGATTTTGCACTGTGCTGGCCGGTCCGTGACAGAGAGGGTAAGAGTAGCCCCCAGTAGAACAGCAGACATGAGGAGCAGCCTGAGATCCATAATGGGAGGAAGGCTCTTCATGTAGGACTTGTACCAACTGTGGCGTACATCCTGCGCAGGGCTTAAAAGTCCAGTGGTCATGTGGATAAATCATCAGTACAACATTGATTATCACGCATGACAACACTGACGACATTGGTGGGCGTGAAGTAAAAGTAGTTTTGTTTCTTCTGGCTCACTTTTATTTAGTTAAATGTGCATTGTGTAACTTTTCTAGAGGAAGGTCCATCATATGCTTGTCTCCATGGAGATGTTATTACTGCACCTGGAATGTTCCACAGTGTGTTATTACATTTATCTCCATGTAGATGAGATTAGACCAAGTTACACGTTAAATCTGTGGAAAAGAGATCTTGATTACAGAAGGTATGAAGGTAGTTTTGAGCAATAGAAACACTAACAATTGAATAACTGTAAGATAGATACTTTTGATGCCATAGTTGTGAACATTGCAGGAGAAGAAGTAACATCTGTGTGGAGACAGACACTCCATCAGAGAAGTTTCACAGTTTCACCTTTAAACTAGGAAAAATAGCTTTGTGATGAATAAGGCTCAAATATACAGATCTGTTAAGTAACATATTATAGTAAAACTACATATATCTAGGTTATTAAAGACAATAGGGGGTATGATAGAAAAAGCAATGCAAAGTAGTAACAAATGAAGTAGTGATGAGACAGTTTACAGTGTATTTTTCAGAAAAGGTTGTCACTTTTTTGTCAGTGCATCACAAGTAAAAATAAGCTTGTGATGTGCGTCTGTGGAATGACCAGATCAAGTGCCCTGGTGAAAGGCCCTATCTATCTCACAATGTAAAAAATAAAGTCCATTCCCACACACTATATGCTGATGCTATGGCCAGTGTCAGTCTCATCTTGTGTATAGCCATGTGACACAGTGGTCAGACAGAGGTTGCTTTATGCCTGTCAGATTCACCATGAAGGAAAAACTGGATCATCTTTTTATTGAGGAATTTGAGGAATGTGGAAATAACCTACAGATATTAACTTGAACATGTCTATATACAGTGGTGGTACTCAGTTTTTTTTACTTAAGTAGAAGTAAAGAGTAAGTAAAAGTATTAAAATACCTGTTTAAAAGTATTTCACACAGATTTTAAGATCTTATAAAGCTTCAAATTAAATGATTCTGATACAGATTTAGGCCTTGTTTTTATTTGTATATTTGTGCTCAAACTATGAACATGTTAAAAATAAACCCCTCACCCTTTTCAGGAGGTCTCAAACTATAATAAAAAATACCTTTACTTTTCAGTCCATTTAAAAAATGTAGTGGATTAGAAAGTACAGATACCTGTTCTCAGATGTACTGAAGTAAAAATGTTCCATTGTAAAATCTACTTAAGTAAAGTACAGTTACCTAAAATATATACTTAAGTACGTACAATACTTTTCTACTTTTACTTTGTTATGTTCCACCACTGGCTATATGTTCAAGTTCATATCAATAAGAACAACGTAAAGACATAATCTGTATTTTTGAGTCATTGCTCATGGTCACCACCAGCATCAACATCATGTACATTGTAAACAGTAACCTTTAGACTTTGTATTTCTAATACTCTTAACTCAGCTATCATGGCAACTGAGCAAATATAAGACACGCAGATATAAGTTGTATGCCTAAGGGTCGTGAATCAATAAAAAGAACAAAATGAAGTGGACACATTGCATCCCATAAAAACGTGTTTGCAAGTGTCAAAACTGTTCACTTCATTCCATCTTGTGTTTATGTGGCTGCTACAGTCTTGATTTTACTCAATGTAATGTTTGCTTAATTCTGTGGATTACTAAATTACTCAATGGCAGTTTTAAGAGGAACTTGTATTTTCAGGGTCAGTATTCCAGAGGTTTTCCACCTAAGCTTTGATGTCACCAATAATAACAAAAAATTTGTCTTATATAACACTTTTCCAGAAGCTCAAAGCCACTTTACTGTTTTGTACAATCCTTCATTCACTCCTCACTGTATTAATTAAAAGGTATTAATTACTTTTAAATGAATACACTTTGATTAAATGTAATACTAAAAGTGAGAGACATCAAATTAGAGAAGGATGAAATTGTAATCTTTTATTTAAATATAAAATGTACAACAGTATTTGTGCAGTATAAACATGGTGCTTGATTGTATTGGTGAAAGACATGTTTACACAAAACAAGCTTAAGATATTTAGACATCTCAATTCAATGCAGGAGCTTTTGCTTTTCATGAATCAATGTATTTAACCTTTTACACTTCAAGGTTTTTTGCTAAATAAAATCAGCTCTGCTTCACCTAAAAAAAAGGCTGAGTAGGTTGAATTTCATCAGACTTCAGTGATGGACTTTGCAGTCAACGTGAACTCAGCATCTGGTAATGCTTCTTTAATTATAGATGAAATCTAAAAAAAATAAATAAATTAAATTAAAATAGATACACTTTAAGTCACTGGGGCCATATGTGTCAGTGCGCATTATCAGTCCAGAAAGTCACCTTGTCAAGAACTTCATCTAGAGAGGTTATGTTCAGCATGTATGTGGAATTAACTTCAGTGAGAAGAAAGGCAAAACCTGAGATAAAAGCATCTAGATGAGTTTGAATGTAAATACAATAAAACAAGATAATTTTTAAGTCTAAAATGTTATTATTAGTAATAGTAATAGTATTATATATTGTAAATTTAAGAAGAAGTAAGTAAGTAATTGTTATTACAACACACAAACTTTTTTTTTTATACATAACTTCCTGAAGTTTTAGTTTTAGTGCTTGTGGGTGAAAGGTCATCTTACTGTCCCGTTCATCTGTGGAGTCTACAGTGGTTGGTTGAATTGTTGAAAACGTAGGCTCTGTAGTCAACATTTCTGCTGGGCCCGTCGTAAAAACCACTGAGGCACAACAAAAGGAGCGTTCATGTGACATCATTCTAAAGAGGCTTTAGATAAAAACTGAGATAGAGGGAAGTTTTTGTATATAATCTGTTAAAGGGACACTATGTAAGGAGGGTAAAGACTCTGAAACTTTGTTTTTTTTTAATAAAACATCTGTTATGAATTAATTAAAGATTGCCTTTTAAGATTGTGTACACCATTACCATACTGTGGAACATTTCTGGAAAAGAAATATTATTTTCAAGAGCCATATTGGTGCAGTCCCTCACACACCAGAAAACAGCTTTTAAAACTCTTGAAAATATTTTGCATAATATCTGTTATTGCCATATAGAGTCTATGATTATTACTGACTGTCCACATGACAACAAAACTGGTATAAAGTTCAACTGTATTTCTTTGTAAACATAATTGAACAAAAACTGTATTTCTTTGTAAAAACAATTTAACAAAAACATGAATTTTTTCAATGTATTGGCAAAAAGAGTGCATAACTGTCCTTCATTTTGCCGTGATTATGAGCAGAAGAGCAGACTTTAAGCCCAACCTTATATAACACATTTGTCCCCTAAAACTGTATCACATAATAATAACACTGAAGAACATGAATTCAACCATGTTTATATTACAATAAATCTTAGAAATCAATAGATAACTATTGTACTGTACTGTTTTCAGATATGGTGTAGTGAGAGATAGTGTGGATTTCTTACTTGTCTGAGCGAGGCATGATGTGAAGCAGGCACTGAGGAGCAGGAGCAGCTGCATGTTGGAGGCGACTGTGAAATTCCAAACCTAGAGCCACTTTTGTTAAGGTACAGTGCAGAGGTGTGGCCCACACACAACAATAGACCTCTGCTGTTTCCTGGGACAACCATAACAAAACCTGACCTGCCTCGTGAAAGATGAGGAACAAGAAATGACGGTGCCCATGAGTTCAAATATTAATCTACAGAAGTCACTCAAAAAGATGTTTTTATTTGATCAAAGATTAGGTCCGGTAACAGATCATCACTTCTGTATGCTAGTGTAATCTGCCTCAGTACATCAAAGCATCTTGAACCCATAATAATAACAATATGACATTGCACATTGTTATGATCAAGAGAGAGAGAGAGAGAGTCTTTTGCTAGTTTTGCTATTTATTTAGAATTTATTATCATCATATATATGTTTGCTCTTTGTTTAATATATTGTAATGTGTCAGCTACTGTGTTCACAAGGTTTGTCTTCTCTGTCTTCATAAGGTTTATCTAAGTCTAAATATCTTGCCTTATTTTGTTATAAATGTAGTGCATATTCAGTAGTGAGAAACTATAGAAAATGCCTCTTGCTTTATTATTTTTTTTATTTTTAAAATAAGAAAATTCAGTCTTGACTCTATGGTTTCTTTCGGCCGCCACTGGACACACTCAGGCTGTGGCTGCTGGTGGGTGGAGGAGACATAAGGGGCAGATCCAGGCCCAGCTCCACTGTGCTCAGCGGAGGAGACTGGAGAGCAGATGTCCTGAGGCTGCTGCCTGAGGAGGACTCACTCCTTAACCAAGAAAACAAAGAGATGGCATTTGAAGACAGATGCTTCAAGTTCACATTTTCTGTATAGTTCAAAATATAAAAAGTAGTAAGTAATGTTATAACCAATCTGACCTTATAGATGCAGCGCTACGGGCTGAGCTGGATCTGGACGCAAACTTAGAGCTCCTTCTGCTGCTGCTGCCCGAGGGAGTGGAGGCGGCAGAAAGCAGGGACAGGTTTGCCTGACGAGTAATCATACGATACATTGGTTATATGTTTATTGAATGAACATTGAAATGTCAGGTATTAAATCACACACCTGTTCAAAGTACATAGCCAGTGCTGCTCTAAGGTCGGGGTGCCCCTCCATGGCTTCAGTTAGCATCTTGTCGATGTTTCGGTTGAATTCTTTGTGTTCTTTGAGTCTGATGTCTTTCTCCTCAAAAGTCTCACCTTTGCTTTGTTTCGCTGAGCGGACCTCTCTTATTAACTTTGAGCACTGCAGCACAAACAGACCCATTTGAAACATTTTTGGTCAGTGAGTTGTACAAGAGAGCCATAGTGTTGCACAAGTACAAGAGACCCATAGTGGTAATATTGTCTGGTGTTGTGGAAGGAAACAGTGTATTAACGTGACAGTGAGCCATAGTGGCCTATTGTTCTCATGCTATTCGAGTGTCAAACCTGTTTTGTAGCTCTGTCGATCTTTTCTTGCTGAGACAACACTTCTTTGTTGATCTTTCTGATGAGTGTCAGTTTGTCTTCAATCTTTTCTTTCTCAAGGCCCTCTTCTTGCTGCAGATTCTCCAAGGTACTGTTCATGCCCTGAAATTAAAATATGATAATAGATGGCACTATCAGTATACTATATAGGGTCAGTCTGTATGAAATCAGCCATTTCAAGGAATCTCCCCTATGAGCCATCTCAGATTTCGCTGAAAAAACTTCTAAAAAAAAATTCTAAAATCACCAAATGAAAGAATCTCAAATTTTAGCTCAATCCCTTGAGACGTTCCTGAGTTATGGCCCGTTGAAATTTTGGGGCCATGCTCACTTTTTCTGAAGCCTTAATTTATAAGCATGTTTGAGAGACCATAA